CGCCACCGGCGACGAGACAGAGAGAGGGAGGATAGCAGAGGGCAGTCGTGGACGTCTGCCTTGAACGCAAATCCAACAACCACCTGCACCAACAACAACGCATTCCCCCCATGAATCCCCACCATTACTGTCCCTTGCTGCCGCACAGATCCAATGACAGAAGAGTCGAACAGAAGCACACCCATCCCACCCGAAAGGTGTCTACACCAAAACGACCGTGCGAGGGAGTTGATGCCACCGAAACTGCAGAAACCCTAGGAATCCCAGCCCGCCATTTCTGCCGCCGACGACCTCGAGACGACCTAGACCCTCGGCAACGAGATAGAGAAAGGAGAGATGCACTGGGTACCTGCAGCGGCGACGAGGGCCAGCAGCGAATCCCCCCGCGGTCCACCGGAGATTTGGAGAGCCGCGGCGCAATTTCGCCGCGGAGCGAGAGCGAGGGCGGAGGAGAGGAGCGGAGAATGGGGAGGAACATGAGAGAAAGGGGGGAAAGGGCGAGAACGGCTCACGTTTCAAAAACCGCCGCCCACGATCTACGCCTCGCCCGCTTACATGTGGGTCCATGCTCGTCCGGATACGGACAAACCGCCCACGATCGCGCGGTTGGACGAAACCGACCAGGCGACACCTGCGCTCGCGCGAGGCCGATCGTAAGCGATCGTGCGGTCGCAGGCCGGCCGCCCGGTTCGTTTAGTTGGTGCGCAGCCACTTTTTAGATTTTAGGTTAAAACAAGTTAGCGGAACTAAAGAACGGATATTATCTAGTATCCCTTCCTTCGGCATGATACCACACAAACAAAGCAACAACGTGGCTTATATACTGGGGCCTGGCTATATAGTAACCTCTTTCGTACGCCTTAATCCACTAATTACCAGCCAACCCATCTAAAGATAAACAACCGACCAGCTGGAAAGGATACATATTTATTTGACTTTGGCAGCCAAGAGAAGCTAGCAAGGAAACTATAGAAATACGGCTTCTTGATGACAAGGTGTCCGACAAGGAAAAAGATTAATCTAGCTCACCTCAGATTATCTTCCTAGCCAATTGATTATATTAGGTCTTGTACAATGAGAGGTGCTTAGAGAGATGCTTAGAAAAATAAACCGGATTTTTCTGAAGCACCGATACCTATTTCTACAGGAGATACGCTTAGTTAAGCGTCTATCCTGTACAAATAAGCACCGTGCTTAAGAAAAACCTTGTTTATTTCTCTAAGCACCTCTCCTAATCACCTCCCAGTATACAAGGCATTACTATGTCTGCTATGTAAGTACATCAGATGGTTTGACAGTAGCAAAGTGTAGTGTAGGTTGG